ACAAACGGGGAATTGATGCCCCAACACCCGATTGGGCTGTCAATTTCCCGTGCGTAATACAAAATGACTGAAAAACGGCAAACTTCGCAAGGCTATATTATCCGCATTTTACAACACTTCGCAACGACACTTTGGAATTACTAATTTTGTGATGCTCTTTCAAGCTGTGATGAAATTTTTGTCTAGATCAAAATTTAGTCTATAATGCAAATGGTCCATTACATTTCCTCGGATAGTGTCCCCCCCCCCCCTATACGTAGCGAACAATGAACTTCGCCAGTTCATTTCAATGTTTGAACTTCTATTGTATTAACCAAATGTTCATGGTTGAAATTAAAGCAAACCATTGAGCAAATGAATTTGCTAAATATTTACTATGCATGCATTTGCCACTGTGCTTAATATACAGTATGGCGAACAATTCCGTTTCCTTGACCACACCAACGATAATAGCGCTAAATCACCCAATGAACAAATAGGCATGCGAGCAGGCAAGTATTGGAACTTTAGATTGATGAAAGACAATTAAAACCACATCCCTACAAAATATCACAAGTGCAAAACAAGTAGTTAGAAAATAAAGACTCTTTTATGACCTTGAAAAAAAATTTCCGCATACAAATATCAAGAAATACTCAAGTCATTTCCCCCAATTTTGACGTCATGAAGTTGTTGGAACACTTTGTTGCGAGTCTGTTGGTCAACCTTGTTACAGATCAACCTTGTTACAAGATGACAACAACGAACACATCTTGTTGACAAGTCCTGAGAATTGTGATACATGACACTTTGGCTTTATAAATATAACACTTGTTGGTTTCGAAACGGAAGTTCATGATCAAAACACAATGTTCTCGAAAAGGTTCGATGAAAAACAAACAAAAGTTTGTTACTTTCCGCAGTTGGCACAAGTTCCCGTCAAACGTACGAAGTGTTCAGCAAAATGCGCAATATGGTTGCATCGCTATGTCCGTTGCGAAAAACATAGCTTTCTAGATTGCTCTAAATTCCAATTTATTTTCACTCGAAAACAGCCTAACCAGCGTATTTTGACCTCGATAACACTATGCCGGTTTTACGAACTGAATCAACTGATACGTTGTTTAGCGATAAAGTCCATTAGAAAAAACTAGAATTAGCTGGGGAAGTGGTATAAAAGCGGTTTACGACCTTCAGAGATATTGGACGTTAATAGAGAACTCAAGCTTCGCGTTCGATCGATCAACGACAAACGACAGGCAAAGAAAAAAATTTCGCTATAAAGGCAATTTTTCTTGCAATTTGCAATCCAATTCTACTCTTGAGAGATGTTAAGTAGTGAAATCTGTGAAGAATTTTCGATATGTTGAGAAAACATCAGCGGAGTGTAATGAAAACTCGTACCGTGTAACATGGCCTTAAAGCAATAAAAAATAAATAGGCTTGTTGTTTTATAACAGGAATGCTTAACTATTCCTGTGTCATATGACAGAAAATATGACACGCAGAAATCGAACGAAAATTAGGCCAAGAAAAGTCGGTCTTGCCCGCGTTTGCCGTTCCCGCAAACGTGAAGCTTAAACTCCCTAATGGCCGCCATCATAGGCCGAATGCCCGAAGTTCTCGCTCCAGACGCATATAGAGGTCACTGACCCCAATCCTAATCATCAGAATGAATAAATTTATTTTTGAGGTGCACTATGACAAAGAATAATCTGAATTGTTCGACATCTCAAGGCTCGTCTTGCTCGTCTTCGTCGTCAGGGTTGTCATCGTCGCCATCAACCTCGGCGTTTTCTTTCTCAAGTTTCTCCAGTTCTTTGGCGAGGTCTGCTTCGTCGAGTTCTGTCACCACTTTGGGCTGAAAATTTTGCAAACATACATGTACTATTAATACATGACACCCATTGAGCGGCAGTGCTCTCGGTAATTGCTAGATAGTAATATAGTATACTTCAAAATATTAAAGTTGATCATTTTCCGTTTTTATCACGTAGAAAAAACTATCCTAACGCAAAACTAAAGCCTAACACTAACCCCAACCCTAACCTAACTTATTTTAAAAATTGATATAAAAACGGAAACCTTAGTTTGAAGTATACTATCCAGCAATTACCCAGTGCTCTCCCCTTGACGAGCATGAAATGATCTGGCTAATGACAGAATAAAGTGTTATTTTCTGCCGAAAGAGGAACGAAACTGAGGAACGAAACTGAGGAACGAAACCTAAACGTTTTTGAGGAACGAAAGAGACAGAAAACGTTTTTCTCACACACTGCTAAGGGGGACTGGCTGAAGGGTGGGGTCAAGGTCGTCAGAGTTACTTTTTTGCCTGCCTCGTGCCAGCCTGACCTGTCACCTGCGTCCAACCCACCCACCCTATTATGCAGTGGCAGTAGTGCTAACTAGAATTGGGTTTAATTGTGTGATAATTAGTTGGAGATGCAGTTAAATATTTGTACAGATCCATTTGTTGTAAATACGAGATATTTTTGTTGATTAAAGGTCAGGCTGCGCTTGTGTGTACAGCATCCCTCAGCGGTGTGTGAGAAATAGTAAAGTAGGGCAAATACTATATAGCATTCATGTTATGGTAACTTACGGCTTGTTGTAAAACGAATGTCCCTTTCTTGCTTAGAATGAGGTCTTCGATCGCTTTGATTGAAGTTTCCAGTGCCTTGAGACCTTCCTCTCTGTTCATTGTCGTTGTCGTGACGACATATGTCGGAGGTGCGATCAAATTTATCTGTGGAAAATAATTATACTTTTGGTTGAATGTGGTGGTCCAGTTCCAAGAATGACAATCTATTCCAGAAAGTGAGGAGGCGGCCGGTAGACCCCATTACATTTTATGTATTTTCACAAGTGCTTGGGGGCAAAATTGAAAGAAAACTGGGGTGGGACACACACGTAAAAACACACAAGTTGTTACAGATCTACAAACAAGGTCGTTGTCAAACCAACATCAGGATGTGTTCGCACTGCTTGTTCCCAGTTGTTGTGACAACTTGTCAATAACTGGGAACAAGCAGTGCGAACATATCTTGTTGACAAGCTGTGAGATTTTTATGCGAGTACTGAAACGCAAGAATTCCCTTTACAAATGCCAGAACTCCCTTTTCAAATGGCAGAACTTGGTTTTCAAATGCCAGAACTCCCTTTTCAAACGCCAGAACTTCGTTTTCAAACGCCAGAACTCCCTTTTCAAACGCCAGAACTACCTTTTCAATCGCCAGAACTCCATTTACAAACGCCATAACTCCCTTTACAAATGCGAGAACTCCCTTTTCAAATGGCAGAAGTACCTTTTCAAACGCCATAACTCCATTTTCAAATGCCAGAACTCCCTTTACAAATACCAGAACTCCCTTTTCAAATGGCAGAACTTGGTTTTTAAACGCCAGGATTCCGTTTTTAAAGTTCAGTGAGTAGAGCTCTTTCAGAGATTGTTCAGTATACTCGTTGAGAAAATTGTTTTTTAAAAAGTAGAATGATGCGGAATGTCAGCCAAACTACAACTGACGTGGAATAAATATTGATCATGTGTTGTGTGTGGGGAGGATTATATATTTACCCCCCAATAGTGGGGTGTGCCACCCCCCTCATCCTCCCAGGATTGCATGATGCCCTCGCCCAGCTCTCTTCTAACAGGGGGTGGGACTCCCTCTTAAGCCGCCTCATCGTACCTTGATTGGCATATCTTCGTGGTCGTTTTCTAAGCCCTTCATTAATGCTTCTTTCACCGCGTCAATTCCCTCATGTGTAAAACACGAGACTTGAATATCAGCTCGACATTTCACAGCTTGCGGCATCAGTCTTTGAGTGATGTTATTCAACAGAACTTTCTTTGTTTCCTCGTCAACACCGAGATTATCCAACACAGTCTGATCCCTGGTGATACAACAGTAGATACCTGATCATTCATTTTTTAATTACCTTGACCTTCTAAGCAGGGGTCGATCTACGGTGGTCGGTGTAAGTGCAGGGCAGTATGCAACCCAACTAGTGGTATCTATCACCCCCCTAGAAAAGTCCAGCATCACATTAAAACATCTGCTTAATGAAACATTTTCTGATTTTCGAATAGTGATTAGCAGAACTTCTACTGTTAGCAGGTGTCAATTTCTTGAAACAATTTAATTGATTTGTGAATCCTGATCTCTTGTGATGATTATGTTGACGGCCAGAGCCTGAAATAACGGCCGGCGATTTTCCGACCAAATTCCGATTTTTCCGACCAAATGCTGAAATGATCGGAAATTTTGTCCGGCCAAATTTTGAGAAAAAGAAAAATGTTTTCTTAATGATCGGGTCGGCACTCAGCACAGTGAGTACCATCTGTAAGTTTGGATTATCTATATTAGGCTAATATAAAGTAATCAAGGAAACGTATTGTTTTTAATATCTTCCAGGTTGTCGGGTCAAGATAAAAACAGCGTCGGCGGGCGTGATTAAATTATTATTCACTAAAACTATTCCAATAAGCAATTGAGCATTAAACATTTGTGTTTTATTACTGCAAGTAGAGTGATTTACTCAGTGCACGTCTGCATGAGTTTCATCATTGGGGGGGGGGGCGTGTGGACTTGGTCAAACTAAACTAAAAAATATTCCGGTCAATTTTGCAAATTTCTGGTCAAATTTCGTTTTGATCGGAAGTTTTTCCGGACAAATTTTAAAATTATTTCAGGCTCTGTTGACCTCATCTATATCTTGCAGACAGTTTCAATGGTTTCTTGATTTTAAAAATAATTCTAGTATGCTTGGACAATAATTCTACTACTTCATATGATAATACATTATAAGATAGAATAAGACACAAAAAAGACATTCTAAATATTTCTATTGATGTATAATACTATTTCTGTTGTGTGTAACCCCCCTGTGGGTTTTATTTATTTTGTAATTTGGTAATCAATTATAATAAAAGTTGTTGTAACTTGTGAGTTCACGAGATAGCTTTAGTTAAATATCATGGTTAATTAAATATGTAAACATAATATTTATAAATCATTGTAATTTTAAATATAGAAAGACCACATTCTCTGTCAATTCTTTACACTGTCAAAAATATAAATCAAAATGTTTCCTATATGAACACCAGAGCCGAAATGAACAGCTTGTTTTTATACTTACGTAACAGCTTTTTTAAAAGCCTCAAAGGCTTTGCCAATTCCTTTAAGGTTTGTGTCCAACGTCCATGCAGTTTTAGTATACAACTCTTCAAGTTGTTCATCTGTTTCATATTTCAGAATCTCAGCAGTGTGCCGTAGGATGCTATGAACCTTGGTACAAATGATTCCTTAATGACTCAATAAATGGTGGTACTTCGAGGAATAGGAGGTGTTTATTAGGGAGAGGCCAGTGTTAGGGGCTGTTTATATGGAAGGCGGACTGGCCCACTTAGCAAGACAGCCCGGTAAGCAAAATCTCACTGTGTATTTATTTCTGTAGCAGTTTGTTATATAGCAGTTTAGTTATTGGCACAGATGTGTCATTTGGATGAGCAGTCAACACTGCAAACTGATTTATTGTGTAAGTTGTTTTGTGTCAAGCATATTGTGTCATGGTAGTGGCATGGCATCGAGGATAATAACCAACTTACGGTTTTTGCATTTGAATATTTTGCTTCACATTTCTTCACCTCTTCTGGTGATACTCTTCTCTTTGAAAGATCAATATAACCTAGTGATAGTTCATAGGAAGACCATTATTAAATGCCATCGACACATGGTCAGAAATAACATGCCTTTTTTTAATGTGATTACATTTCTACATGGTGTAAAGCTTTTCCAATCTTGTTGGATAGTTCATGCTGGTATCACACCAAACCTCTGCACAAAGATATTTCCTTCCCAATTTTTACGGCTTTAATTTCACAAATACCAGTCAATATCAATCAGATTAGATGGTCCATTGATGTTTATTGATAATCAATACCAATCAATTGATATATTTATTATTTGACTTTGATTTTATTGATCATCGATTTCGTAAATTCATGTTTCACGATTATTCATCAATTTCACAATTATTGATTATTAATTTCAATGATCACACATATGGCAATGTTATACTTTTAATACAAATACCACCTAACATTAACAGTTTGAGAATCAATGTGATCAATAATATAATCAATGACAATCAATAATATAATCAATGACAATCAATAATATAATCAATGACAATCAATAATATAATCAATGGCAATCAATAATATTGATTGCCAGTGAATATTCAACCAAAATAAAACAGTTTCAAAGCAGACATCAAAACAAACCTTTTTCCTTGTCGACGCGAATAACAACAACACATTCGTTCTTTCCAACCCGGATGAGTTTATTTATAGACCGAATTCTCCTGCGAGACAGTTCACTGAGCAAAATCATGCCTTCTATATTGTTATATTCGAGGAGATTGACATAGGCACCCATTTCGGCGATGTTTCTCACATTAACCATAACGACATCGTCTACTTCGGGGTATTTGTGTTGATAAAAACGACAGGAAAGGGGCATTTTCAACACACTTTTTATTCAAAAGTTTTTAAAAATTTTCAATATAAACATGTGGCTCTCAAAAGATGATGCAACATCAACGCGCTATTCGAAGGCCTGGGAATAGATATGAATAAATTATAAATTTTCAGGAATCAAGCCCGCGAGCACCTGCTTTGCGGGCTAATAAATTTTCAATAAACCTTTTTAACAATATCGACGCCATCTTGAAATCGCAATGCATTGTGGGTATCAGCCGATATTATGGTGCATGATGGGAACGATTAAGGCTCAGTCCATTGATCTGTATATATACACTGATAAATCCAGTGTTGTTAAAAAAGTTCCCAAGAAAGTAATGGTACAACTTACAGGACTGAGAGGCAAACTGTGGCTAAAAGATATGCTGAAAAGAAGCTTGATAGCCACAAACCGTGGGTACAAGCAGACCAGTATAGCCACAAACCGTGGGTACAGGCAGACCAGTATAGCCACAAACCGTGGGTACAGGCAGACCAGTATAGCCACAAACGGACGTGGTTATAAGGTATGCCGAAAATAAGCAGGCTTTATAGCCACAAACCAAGGCTATAGTCTATAAGATATGCCGAAAACAAGCATACATGACCATACATTATAGCCACAAACCGTGGCTACAAGGCATGCCATAAACAGGCATACTTTATAGCCAAACACCGTGTCTACAAGGTATGCCAAAAACAGGCATACTTCATAGCCACAAATTCTCTTTAATTGCAAGTACGTTTGAGAAATAATTTAGCAAACACGAAAGCTATTTATTACCGACTTATTTTTCACCCTGCTCGGTTTCCTTTGTTCTTATCGGGGAATATATTCAATATTCCCTTCTAATCAATTTCCGTTTAATAATCCTCTCTAATATTCACGTGCAATGTCTTTGCAGCACAAAAAATGAGAAAAAATAACATAACGAAGGCAATATGGCATTAACAATTATTTCTATTCTGACTCATTAACGCGACCTCGCAATGTGAAAAATAAGTACGTTATTTTGAGGCACCTCGGGGATATATGTTTATTCACCTCGGCGCTGCGCGCCTCGGTGAATAAATCACATATCCTCTCGTTGCCTCAAAATAACCTATACGTATAGAACACCTCAAAAGTGTGTTAAAAAAACTCGAGTTTTGCCCGCACATTTTCGGTAATGTTCGACGATTTCCAAGATGAATACACTTGTTAAAACATGTTTGCGTTGTTTTATTAAAAGTTATATTAAAAGTAAACACATTGCAAACTGAACGAATATTTGTAGAATTTTTCTTGCGAAACCCCATTGTGCAGTACACACATTTTAATTAATAGAACTCAGATCTTCTTTTTGTAGAATCTTAAAATTAATAGAACTTCAGATTCTGTTTTTACATGTGGCGTGAACAAAATTCTATCAAAGCAAGATTTAATTCAATACTCACAAGTACTAAGTTTTAATATTTAGTCAGTTAAATCTACTAAACTTAAATCTACTTTAATATTTAGTCAGTTAAAGTACATTACAAAATACATTCAATACAGAGACCTCTTTACAGGCCTAGAAAATATATTTATCTTCCTGGCAGCAAAATTCAAAAATTAAAATTTCCTGTGTAAGTCAACTATAAAACGTTCCTATGTAGATTTCAGAGAACGTGTGGACTATGATGGCGCACACCTCGACTTGCAAAATGCTTAATTTGGAATTTTTAAACAATAAGTAAATTATATGGCGTGAAAAAATATTTCCTGCAAGGTGCAAGAAAATTTCCTGCGAAGATATTTTGTTAAACATTTCCTGGCAGCGGTGCTGCTGGCGCTGCCGGACATTTTCCAGCACTGCCTCTTTAATACAGCCACCTCTTTAGTACAGCATTTCTCTAATACAAACACCTCTCTAATACAGATATCTCTCTAATATAGACACCTCTCTAATACAGACACCTCTCTAATACAGACACCTCTCTAATACAGACATCTCTCTAATACAGACACCTCTCTAATACAGACACCTCTCTAATACAGACACTTCTCTGATACAGACATCTCTCTAATACAGACACCTCCCTAATACAGACACCTCCCTAATACAGCATCTCCCTAATACAGACATCTCCCTAATACAGACATCTCTCTAATACAGACATCTCGCTAATACAACACCTCTCTCTAATACAACACCTCTATAATACAGACACTTCTCTAATACAGACACCTCTCTAATACAGACACCTCTCTAATACAGACACCTCTCTAATACAGACATCTCCCTAATACAGACATCTCTCTAATACAGACATCTCTCTAATACAGACACCTCTCTAAATTTAGAAGTAGACACCTTAGTCAAGATTACTCCCAAGTATGGCCAATGACACATCAAGTGCGATCATTAAATTCGAGAAATTTTTTAACAATGTTCAACGATTTCCAAGATGAATACACATCTCAAAAACCTTCACGCATATTTGCGTTTTTCTATTAAATTTTATATTAAAAGTAAACACGTGCAATCTGTACAAATATTTCTGTAGTTTTTCTTGCGAAACCCGATTGTAGAATACACACATCTTAATTAATATAACTGAGATTTTGAGAAATAATTATTCTTCAGAGTTTTTACATGTGGCGAGAGTAAAAAATGAATACTCTATGAAAATAAGATGTAATCCAACACTCCAAAATACTATATGTTAAAAACGTTTAATAATATTTAATAACACCTCTCTAATATAGACACCTTTCTAATACAGACATCTTTCTAATGCAGACATCTCTCTAATACAGACTCTCTCTAATACAGACACCTCTCTAATACAGACATCTTTCTAATAAAGACATCTCTCTAATACAGGCACCTCTCTAATACAGACATCTCCCCAATACGGACACCTCCTTAATACGGATACCTCTTTAATTAATACGGATACCTCTTTAATACAGACACCTCTCTAAATTGGGCACCCTTTCTAATATATTGCTTTATGAAAATTCCTTAATTAATAGGCAAAAGCAAAAACACGAAGCTTAATCAACGACTTATTCATTCGATACTTAATTACACATAGTAGAATGGCGATAATTAAAAAAACAACCTAAACAGGTAAAGCAAACAAGAATATTTGAAATTTATTACTAGTTTAACCAACTGCCGAAGCTAATTCAATACACGACAATATAATAGAACGAGGTTGAACAAAATATTCACCATTTTTTTCAAGAGCTAACTCTACAAAAGTTCGATTTTGAAAAAGGGTAAAAATGACTTTCTTAATGATGTAGTATTATCTGTATATTCATATTATTTTAAAATACCTTCCACGTGTGATTCTTTGTTCAAATATTAAATTGTTTTAATTTATTTTTATTAACAGTTTAAATAATGTACAACCTTGGAGCATTGGTGATTAATGTGTTGTTCTTGACATTTGTTGGTAAGTTTTAAATGAAACACCACTTTGCAAAAGGAAATTTAAACTCAATCCAAACGCAATGGTTCTATGGGCACTGGTGAGGCAATGATAATTGCCATGCACTTAAGCTCCTCTCATTTTTGCTTGGTCTTAAATTCACGCGATTTAATTTTGCCCACTCGGAACGCGGTTTTTTGCGCAGTTTTAATTTCGCGCAATTTTGATATGGAACAAAACTAGAAAGTCATATTTAAACGATGATTTTTTTCCTTGTTAAAATGACGTTATTAAGAAAATGCCTGTTAAAATTTTATAAATACTACAGTTTAATAATAATAACAGTAATAATAATACTGTAGCAATCACCAGCCTGCCTGTACTGTTTGTCTGTATATGCGAGTACAATGCAATCAACCAGCTGACCAATTTGAAAAAGCCATAATTGACAATATTTTAAAGGAAAGTTCGAAAATTTGAAATTTTACCCGGAAAAAAGTTGGACAGTTTTTGGCAGTTCATTTTTTGCGCGGATTGAAGCGCGCGCAGCTATGTGAACGCGCGGGTATATAGAACATCCGGTATACACATCAAGCATGTTTCACCCAGACTATACTGGGGAATTTGAACATACTTTCTTTCAGTTTGCTCAGAAGCAGAGCATCACTTCCACTCTTTGCTTGGGAAATCCATTTACGTTCCGAGAGAAGACTTGTTGGGAGACATCCCGAATGGAATATCATTCTTTACAAAAATCCCCGACGAATGCAAGCGCATAGTAAACCTCGCGACCACCACCAAAGATCAATCATTTTACAAGAACACGGGAGAGTTTTACAAGAGTATCGCAACAGAAACCGGTCTTGACGCAAAATACGAAGGACATTTCTCGCTTGGAGCGTCCCTCGATGTCACCACGAAAAGTGTGAGTGGTAGTAAACGCGAAGTGAGCGGTACCTCTCTCAACTTGGCAACCAAGGCGTACGAAGAACAAGTGAAACCCAACTGCCTTTATAACACTGAGAAGAATTCAAGGCTCATTAGAGATCTTTCTGCTCTACAAAAGAAGATTGCTTCGCCTTGGCACAAATCATCTTGGAGAGACTACCAAAGGTACAGTTTGGGATATATTTGGTCGTTATAGGTTTACGATTAACATTAATTTCAATTTTATCTTTACAACAATTGTGATTTTCTCAACTGTGTTTATCCTAACCCACCCTGTCAACTTTTTCATGTGGGAGAAAATCAGACCACCCGGAGAAAAGCCACGACTTTCGGCAGAGCTTATATATACAGACGTTTTTCATATGAGGTTATAGCGAGAATTGAAGCCACGAATTCAGAGAAGTGAAAGGCGCCTGCTCCTATACCATCACCACCACCGAAGCCCCTTTCAAATAGATCACAGACTGTACTTAAACGTCACTGCATAAGTGTTGCTAATCCAAATAGTCCAAATATATTCCTTGAGAACTTATCATCTGCGACACGACTAGGGAAAATATTTACGAGTCCCACGAAATACTACAGGTTGCATCTGATATATTACTAGGTTCCTGGACACTCATGGCTCGCACGTCGTCACGGCTGTAACATTTGGTGCTAGCATTGATCAATATGCATTTGGTGAGCAGTCATCTTCCTATACAGCACGCGAGTTCACAGTGAAAGCATGTGCTTCCCTGGCAAAGGATGTTGAGGTCGCCTCAGTCTCTGTTTCTGCATGTTCTAGTGTCTCTAAAGAAGAAATCAACAAGGTACGAAGACAGACAGACGCATCTCCGTGCACGCTATTCTCGACGCAATTTTTTCGGTAGACAATCGCGGATACTGCTTTGAAAATACCTTACGCTCAAAATTGAGTGCGCAAAGGTGAAATCCTTATATCTCGTTGACAGGATCGATGTAAAATTTTGCACGTATATACAATAATAATTCAAACACTCATTAATAATTCATAAGCTTATTGGCAAATCATGTTAACCATAATATGTCACGTGCAGTGGCTTTAAACCTGATAAAACACTCCTAATTAGTATTCTTTATATAAATTAGTATTCTTTATATAAAGAATACTAATAAGGCAGTATCTATTGTAGTCGTGTCCTCATTAGTATTTTTTATATAAAGAATACTAAAAGGCAGTAAATCTATTGAATTTGTAGTCGTGTTTGAAGCCGTTCAATAAACTCGCAAGTCGTGTTTCGTTAGGTCTAAAGCTACTCGCGCTGCGCGCTCGTGGCTTTAAACCTAATAAAACACGACTTGCGAGTTTATTAAACAGTACTTTAGGTACACACGTAAAACGCACAAGTTGTAACAAACCTGCAGCAGACTTGTTCCAACAACTTGTCAACAGGATGTGTTCGCACTGCTTGTTCCCAACTTATTGACAACTTGCTACAAGATTGTTGAGCTCAACAGTTTGACAAACTTGCTACAAGCCTGTTGCGAACACATCTTGTTGACAAGTTGTGACATTTTTACGTGTGTAATCTCCGATCAAGCGAGGATGATATTAACGATGATATTACCATATTGAGCATGGTAAGTGATCTAGTCAACTCTCATGCAAACTTTTGCTTCCTAGATTTCTAACGAGCGCATGACGTCATCAATCACAGTTCGTGGCGGGACCCCAGCAACGCGACAAAAGATCCTCTACGACCGTTCCAACGAAATTATCCTGCAATTCCTCCAAGAAGGCCATAGCAACGCTACACCGATACAGTACACCCTCACACCCGTCTGGCAAATCCTTGGCGAACACCAAGACTACAGAGTACAAGCTACAAATCTCCAATACTACTTTGATGGCTTCTTGAATTTCGGCTGCAATTATAAAAAAGGTACTGTATGTACATGTCGACTTTTGCGATTTCATTTCTTTTTATTATATAAAACAAATAGGTCAAATTTTGAATGAACAGCAAGTGGTATATTATACTCTCATTAGTTGTGAGCGCTTGTTACTTAACATACAAAAAATTCTCCTCTTAATTACAATTACAAGATCCTCATTGGTCAATTATATTTTAACTAGAAAAACGTACTGGCTAATATTTAATCAATTTCAGGCAAACGTGGACCAGCTATGCAGACCTTCAACCTTGCGACACACTCAACAGACACAAACCCGGTTTATGAATGTACCATTGCTCCATCTGGCTGTCACCATGACGAAGATTGTCATTACACGGTCGGAATATATTGCTCGTGTTATGGCGACTCCTGCATACGTCATCACAACAGGAAAACAAGTTCTGGTAATACTCGTTCTTATCCAACCCAGGAATATAACAGCGGGTGGGGATGGCATGGGTGTGACTGGTACACTTGGGGAGCAAGTTGTACTTGTGCTAAAGAGAATGTCTCAAGAAAACGTGTCTGGCCCATCGTTTGAAAGAAATATCAATATTGCGTGTCTTGGACTCTGGACTTTATGTGTTAAACAATCTAACTTACTTCTTACTGATGTACTACTGTAAAACTTGTAACATTGTCATGTTTTCTTTGAAGTAAACTTCACTGTTTCTATCTCAATTATTTCAATCAATAAATGTCATTGCAAATTAATTTCAAAGTCTCAGTTGTTTTGTCTACAATAGGTGGGTTTCACTAAGCAGGGCTCTACCTAGACGCGATGATTGGGTGCATATTCATATATTCGTGCTCTGCCCGACAGATTTCTTTTGAAAGCGATTGTTTTTGCGGTATGTGTATATGAATATGTACCACCACCCCCAATTATCACGTAAGGAAAAGCTTAGTGGTCAACTTTACACGTATCGACGCTTTATGTTTTGTGGAAGCGAGCAAATTTCGCCAAATTGCATGCATTTGCTACCAAACACAAAGTCAATTACACATATAATGAAAAAATTAACTCGCTCTGGTAACTTCTTTTGGAGTTACTAAATGTACCACGTTTTGGAGTTGCTAAATGTACCACGTGGCTGAAAGCCAGCTATTGGCCCTCTCACACCTAATCCAGACCTCTTTAACCTAGCAAAAATAATACAAAATCCGATCAAGAAGAATATAGAACACACCACCTAATTATATTACATGCTTATGGCAAGAATTTCACCCATTCTTTTCTTGATTGCAAAGAACACTTAAAATATAACTATATAACCTCGTGGGTATAGAATACTTTCTGTCTTTCAGCTCTTTTCTTTCAGCTCTTTTCCTTCCCGAGATATTCAATTTTATTTGATATGCAAATATCATCAGTAACGACATCACATATTAAAAGTTATATTAAAAGTAAACACAATGTAATCTGTACAAATATTTCTGTAATTTTGTTTACGAAACCTGATTGTAGAATACACACATTTTAATTGATAGAAATTATGTCTTGGAAAGAAAATATATTTTATGTTTTTATACGTGGAGAGAACAAAAAATAAAATACGATTTAATCTAATACTTCAAAATACTAAATGTTAAGATAGTTTGAACCTTGACACCTCTCTAATACGAACACGGAACACCTCTCTAATACAGATACCTCTCTATTACGGACAACTCTCTAATACAGACACATCTCAAATGCAGATACCTCTCTAGCACAGACACCTCTCTAATACAGACACCTCTCTATAGTACAGACAACTCTCTAATACGGACACCTCTGACCTCTCTAATACGGACAACTCTCCAATATATTGCTTCATGAAAAATCCTTCAAAGGCTTAAAGTGGCCATTGATATTTAATAACCTAAAGTTGGAGTTTATTAAAAAACAACCCAGACAGGCTCTTAAACAAAAACAATTCAAATTTATTACTTGTTTAACCAACTGTTGAAGCTAATTAAACAAATGAGAGTATAAAGGAATCTAGTTGAAGAAAACTTTCACCATTTTTTTCAAGAGCTAACTCTACAACAGTTCGATTGGAAAAGGGTAAAAATGGCTTTATTAATGATGTAGTATTATCTGTATATATTCATGTTATTTTGAAATATCTTGCGCGTGTGATCCTTTGTTCAAATATTAAATTGTTTTAATTTCTTTTTATGAACAGTTTAAATAATGTACAACGTTGGGGCATTGGTGATTAATGTGTTGTTCTTGACATCTGTTGGTAAGTTTTAAATAAAACACCACTTTGCAAAAGGAAATTTGAACTCAATTCTATACATGAAGATGCTATCATCGTAAATTCGCGCGATTTTAAATTTGCGCAAACAGAACGCGTTAGTTTTTCGCGCAGTTTTAATTTCACGCAATCTTGAAACGCGGAACAAAAGCAGCTACATGCAACACGGGTAAAACATCCAGTACATAAGCCAAGTATTTGCACCCACCCTGCTGACTCTGGTCAATTTAAACTAAAATCCAAATAAGACATATTTTGTTTTTCAGTTCGCTCAGCGGAGTTCCACTCTTTGCTTGGAAAATCCATTTATGTTCCCAGAGAAGACTTGTTGGGAGACATCCCGAATGGAATATCATTCTATACAAAACTCCCCGACGCATGCAAGCGCAAAGTGAACCTCGCGACCACCACCAAAGACCAATCATTTTACAAGAACACGGGAGAGTTTTACAAGAGTATCGCAACAGAAACTGGCCTTGACGCGAAATACGAAGGACATTTCTCGCTCGGAGCGTCCCTCGATGTCACCACGAAAAGTGTGAGTGGTAGTAAACGCGAAGTGAGCGGTACCTCTCTCAACTTGAAAACCAAGGCGTACGAAGAACAAGTGAAACCCAACTGCCTTTATAATACTGAAAAGCATTCAAGGCTCATGAAAGATTTTTCTGCTCTACAAAAGAAGATTGCTACACCTTGGCACAAGTCGTCTTGGAGAGATTATCAAAGGTACAGTTTTAGCGCTTTTCATACCTTAAATTTATTTCAGCCACGCCTGAGCCTTTGAGAGGAGCTTATTGTTGAGCGGGCTTTCGAGTGACCTCTAGTTTACGGAAGCCAATCACAAAACATTTATCTTAGCTTTGCCAAGTTTACTGCTTCGCAAAAGTAATAAGGAAAGTGACCCAATATATGTTTTTACTGCAATAATAGGTTCCTGGACACTCATGGTTCGCACGTCGTCACTGCTGTAACATTTGGTGCTAGCATTGATCAATATGCATTTGGTGAACAGTCGTCTTCTTATACAGCACGTGAGTTCACAGTAAAAGCATGTGCTTCTCTGGCAAAAGATGTTGCTGTCGCCAAAGTCTCTGTTTCTGCATGTTCTAGTGTCTCTCAAGAAGAAATCAACAAGGTACGTGGCTTTCGTATCACGAGTAAAACGCGCAAGTTGTTAAAGATCTGCAAGCAAGTTGTAACAAGGTTGTTGTCAAGCCGATATCAGGATGTGTTCGCACTGCTTGTTACTAGTTGTTGTAACAAGTCTGAATCAAGTTGTTATCACCTTGTTACAAGGTTGATGACGGTAACAAACTTGCTACAAGTTGTTCCAACAAGACTTTGTTACGTGCAGACGATATCAGACTTGTTGGAACAACTTGTTGCGAGTCTGTTGGCCTCATCAACCTTGTTACAAGATGATAACAACTTGTTCCAGACTTGTCAACGAGCAGCAGGGATCTTGACACTGTTTCCGAGAATGAAGAGTTGAGAAAACTCTCCTGCAAACTCTCGCTTGTCAACTCTCCCTATGGTTTCACCAACTTACATCTTTCCTAGATTTCTAACGAGCGCATGACGTCATCAATCACTGTTCGTGGCGGGACCCCAGCAACGCGACAAAAAATCCTCTACGATCGTTCCAACGAAATTATCCTGCAATTCCTCAAAGAAGGGCATAGCAACCCCACACCGATACAGTACACCCTCACACCTGTCTGGCAGATCCTTGGCGAACAACAAGATTACAGAGTACAAGCTACAAATCTTAAATACTACTTTGATGGCTTCTTGAATTTTGGCTGCGATTATAAAAAAGGTATGTTAGCGATAGAAATACCGAGGGGGGGGGGGCATATTACTCCTCGAAATTTTTGTGGGGGTGAACCGTCAGAATATTGAAACCCTTAGTAAGTTTCAGATCAAAACATAAAAGGGTTGGCATAGCCCCCGTACTCGTTCTTATGAAATTTTACTTTTCAAGTTATATTTTTCAAGCAGTTGAATCTTCTAAATCCACAGCTTTCTGGTATTATTCTCACTACCTACACTGGTACAATCCGTCCGAGTCTTATCCCTGCATGTTTAAAAGCTTTTCCAACGGTTGTTTCTATAAGTCATTTTCCACGGATGTTTCTCAGAAATTCTGAATGAATTACAACACTTGATATTTCAGCCAAACGTGGACCATCTCTACAGACCTTCAACTTTGCGACACACTCCACTCAAACAAACCCGGTTTATGAATGTACCATTGCGCCATCTGGTTGTCACCATGACGAAGATTGTCATTACACGGTCGGAGTATATTGTTCGTGTTATGGCGACTCCTGTATACGTCATCTCAGCAAGAAAACGAGTTCTGGTAATAGTCGTGATTATGCTGCCCTGGAAAATAACAGTGGGTGGGCATGGCAAGGGTGTGACTGGTACACTTGGGGATCAAGCTGTTCCTGTTCCAAAGAAAACTCCGCAAGAAAACCTATCTGGCCCATCAATTGAAGGAAAATATCAACATTATGTGTCTTGGACTTAATCCTTATCAAATATAGTTCTGAACTTGTTACATTGTCCTGATTTCTTTGAAGTTAATTGCTATATTATTCAATAAACGTCATTGCAAAAATCTCAGTTTTTTTGTTTATTTAAAGAGTCATTTAATTTTTATTTATTTAAAATACATAATTATTTAATTAACCCTATAACGTGTTCAAGACTCCAGATCCCCTTGATGAGTAAAGTAGTCTGGCATTAGACAGAATAAAGGTCTAGAATTTAAGGTTATATTCTCAGTATTATTACACAACAATTGTCAATCTAACTACAACTTAATCAAGTAGACTTCACAGCAGATTTAGCCATTAACAATGCACCTATTATGCCAGCATTATTACCAAACTTACTGCCACAAATATATTCATTTAATCCTTCATCTGTTTGAAATTTCTCAACCAACACGTAACCAGCATTTAACTGTTTAAAATTCTTCCTACACTTTTCAAAAAGTACATTGCGCTGCATTACTCCACCTCCGAGTATTATAACATCAGGCGAGAGCAAGTAAGTCAGATTAACACACAGGACACCCAAATAATATCCAGCTATTTCCCAAACCCGGTGAGAGTCTGGCAATGTGCCGAGCTCGGAGGGCTGGACACCGGCTCTTGCCGCCAGTGCATTCGAGTTTACCATGCCTTCGATACAATTTTTGTGAAACGGGCAACCACCAGGGTAGGTGTCGGCCGGCATCACTCCTACGATCATGTGACCTGCCTCAGGATGTAACAGACCATGCACAGGGGACCCATTTATATGCACACCAACACCAACACCTGTCCCGACCGTGATATACACAACATTTTGAAGCCTCGAACCACCAGTTATTGTAGCCTCGGCAATTGCAGGCGTGTTGACGTCGGTCTCAAACACGACAGGTACTTTTGGAAATGCTTTCATGAATACGCCAACCACGTCCACATTTTGCCAACCAGGTTTCGGCGTAGAGGTTATATAACCATACTTAGGCGATTCTTTCCGCAAATCAATTGGACCAAATGAAGCGATCGCAATAGCCTTAAAACTTTCTGCTCCATATTTTTTTAAAAGTTGCTGTAAAAATCCCACTAAATTACTCAGCGTTGACGCAGGGACATTACCAGTATTAAATTCCTTACGTTCTACGATAATTTCAGGATTTTCAACATCCGATATTGCGGCTACGCATGTAGTACCGCCTAGTTCGATGCCAGCTATATAAGCCATTTTTGCAAAATGTCAAAATATATATACAACAAATTTGTGAAAAAATAAATTCACGCGTGACGCATATATTTTTTTGCTGCAATATTACTGAATTTTGCGTTGCAATGGTCACATGCTAGTCACATGAAAAGTGGGTTCATATTCCGCCCGGAGAAAACGATCGATGATTCATAATTTATTGAGCAAAAAAATTGCAGCATATTTATGTCAATTTACGCTTAAAAACCATTAAAAAGCTTTGTAATTTTCCTTCTTTGAATGGACTTAGAGATGAAGAACATAATTAACTGAGACTTACCTTTTTTTCAAACAAAGAAGCATTTACAAAGAAATATTTTACAAAATGTTTAAGTTGTGCAAGTGTGATAAAGGAATTTGATACTCGGAGGGTACTCGGCAACCAACGTAACAGCGATCGTGCTACAAATAATGACGATGCTGCCCAAATATGGGCAACGCCGACGTCTTGACGTAGACGGCCATTTCCGAGATGACATCATTTGCGGCTAAAAATAGAAAAGCTTCCTTGATATTTCAAAACATCAAAATTTCGCAGCAAAATAAAACTACTATTGTTTGCGGCTGAAAAGAAAGTTAGTTTGTGACAATCGCGAAGTAAAGAATAAACAAAATGTCTCTGTATCCATCGTTAGAAGATATGAAAGTTGATCATATGGCAAAGGTAGAAAAATATGCGAACATTTGCTTTATTTTGGACGAAGTGATGTTTCAGCCATCCCGAGTCTGATTACAATATGATGCATCAATCAAAGTATATATACGAGCCCAATAAATTAGCAATGTATTAATTGCCTCGTTCTTTAATAAATCCTGTTTTATCGAAGACAACTTTAACCCATAAATTGAACACTCAGGACAAAATGCAAGGGTTTTTTTTGAAAAACGATGCAAGCTTTTACAACTCCATTTGGGGAAGTCATGTACCGATGTACGTGATGGTACTAAAATATTTGTGTTATAATTTTTTAGGCCCAAGTTCAGGCTGCTAATCACAGCCATGCTTTGCCAGCGGCTACGGTAAGTTCCTCAGTGTTGCTTGTTCAGTTATGAAAATATCATACTGTATCACATGTTCACGTTATATAGAATTCTAAAAGTGAAACCAAATTTTCTAATACATAGGCGAGTGCTCCTGGTCCGAGCGCCCCTCCGAGCGCAGGACACAGCGGGCTGTATCCATCATTGGATGATTATATGGGTCTCCATATCACAGAACAAATGGTCCGAGACAATCTCCCAGGACATGTAAGTATGATAGACGGTCCTTATACATTGTATGTACATTGAGTATGGTGTCACGGTGTTAGAATCACAAATCATAGATTACAACATACATAGATTGTTTTATTTTGCCCAGTGCGTAAATGTAAAATTTTCAACATTTTTAGCAAGTAGTCCCAAGAAGTGGCAACCAGCTCGCAACAGTGACCAGTGGCGTCATTGCTCCAGTGACCGGTGCAAACAACATTGACGTAAAACGAGCCGAAATCAAACAAGGCGTACGTGAGGTGACTTTGTGTAAAGACGCAAAGGGTAAAGTAGGTTTACGTGTGAGACACGTCGACAAGGGTGTCTTTGTGTCGTACGTTCACAGCAACTCACCCGCGGCTCTGGGTGGTCTGAGGTTTGGTGATCAGATCCTACAGATTGATGGTGAGAATGTTGCTGGTTTTGAAATGGATAAAGTTATGAAGGTTATCAAGAAAGCATCACCACAAAGAATCGTGTTTGCCGTCAGAGACAGGTGTGTTTTCCAACTGCCTGGAAAGGGGCTCAGTCTGAAAAAGGTTTTCCTTGACAAGAAAGTTGTCTGGCATTAGACAGAGTAACAAATAAATGGACAAATAAAACAATGTAGCATTAGAAAGGGTAGATGCTGTAATAATTATTGGGTTGAATAGAGTCATTTTCTAATGCTAAATATCTTTCTATAATTTAGACCATTTGAAAGAACAATTACATTACAAAAAGACAGCAATGGAAATGTTGGCTTTGTATTCAAAGATGGAAAAATCACAGCTATTGCCAAAGATTCATCCGCGGCAAGGTAAATAGAAATCTGTGGTTGTTATGGTACTTTCCTGGTCGTTACAGCGTTGGACTGGCAAACCAAGTGTGGCAAGCTTCATTTCCACTGGGCTCAAGTCATTTTTGAGCTAGCCCACATGCAGTCACTCATAGTATTGTCATGTTTAAAATACAAAGTTAATTTTAAATTATGATTTATTTGTGTAGAAATGGTTTGCTGATTGAGCATAACCTTGTTGAGGTTAATGGTCAAAATGTTGTTGGCTTGAAGGTAAGGTCTTGTTTTAACTGATGTCATACTGCATACATGTTTTCAAGGATCAAGTGCCGGAAAATATCAAGCATTGTGGTATATCATCTAGATTTGCCACATCTTGCAATGGTACACTGGTCATTCAAACACAATGTCGCTGAAAACGTTTCCTTCCACTTCTTAGGATAAAGAGACGAAAGAGCTAATTAACCGAGGTGACCGATCGGTCACGTTCACCATTGTGCCAACATTTGTGTTCAAACACATCATGAAGAGGTAAGTTCAATCATGTGTTAATTGTAAGATAGGGAGAAAAGTTGACCCAATTTTTACTAGAGATAGATGAGCCATCCAGACATGTTTGGGCAAGGAAAATAGGGCCATGGGATGGCCTGGGCAGACATACTCCCTTTTCCAGCAAATATCACCGAGATTTTAAAACAAAGTAGAAGCAAATAAACCTTACCAAAAACCTAACTTATATGTTTTTTCATCTTTTACAGCATGTCAACCAGTCTTGTGAAAGGCAGCATGGATCATTCAGTTCCAGATCTCTAAAATAATACAAACATTGAAAAAAAAACACATTGTTAAAAACAAATTCTGTTCTCATAACTTAGTGGACAATACTCAGTATATATACAATATGTACCCAACAACTATATATATATTAAAATTAGTGACCAGTGAGCATTTACCATTTAGAGGAGGTTGAAACATTATTTATTGAACGTTCTCTCACTTAATATTTATTTCTACGAGCTTTTGGCTATCAGTCTATAGCCTTCGATGGGTGTATTCACAAAATTTGTATATACCCGTCGAAGGCTATAGAACTGATAGCCGAAAGCTCGTAGAAATAAATATTAAGTCAGAGAACGTTCAATAAATAATTTACCATTTAGTTGAAAACTTTGGTGTTAGGTAATATACTGATTGGTATGCTTGATTTTATTCACTGGCAGTAGAAACAGCACAGCCAATACTTGTGAATAACATCTGAAGAAAATATGACTAATTTTAGTACAAGTCATGCTAAAAGATTGAACAATACAAACAGATAGTAATTAACTTGGGTGAATTTTTCAAGACACAAAATTTTCAAAACTTAATAATTTTTTCACAAGACGAACTTGGGTCTATTGTAGTCAATGAAGAAAAAGAGTACCAGAAGTAATTAGTTAAGTCTTTGTAGCTAATTAAAGGTAAATAAATTTAATGTTTTGTAAGTAAAATAGAAATTATGAACAACTATACAACAGTGCAACTTTTGTTTTAGTTTCTCCGGGATGCCCAACAACTGACATTTTGACCACGTTGCATGTTTACATCATTGCTATCCAACTTTAAAACTCACATGCCTAGTGACTATTGACATATTGTTCTAGTTTACAGAAACATGGAATACAACAAAAGTAACTAAGCATTAGAGTTATGTACAGGTGTATGTACCACAGAATACCACACAAATTTACATGTTCCATATCTTTTGTCAAATGCATATAACACAGCCTGTATAGTTTTGCATTATTTTTTCCTGTGGGGTCTTGGGGTTAGATTTGGCACATTCTATTGTTTTTAAATCGGACATTCTGTAGATAAAATCCTAATGTACCACAGAATACCAGTGCGGCAATAAGTAAGGAACGGTTTATCAAATTGAGCGAGGATTTGGTGTGTCATGTTTGATATTAAACACTGTACAGATATTGCTAACTTAATTTAGTGGAAGGTAAATACTAAAATCACTACAGAATACCGGTGGTATGTACCACAGTATATTAGGTTTACCAATAATTTTGAAAAATTAAATTTTTTATTGTAATTTTGATTACTCAGTGACATTCCTGAATAGTAAAAATGTTGTATCGTTTAGAAAAACTGTTGATAAATGTAAATCATGCAAACTTATTTTCAAACTTTCTGATTCAGCAGAAAAAAAAGCAAAACAAAAATAAGGAATTTTATTTGCTGCTTATCCCGATTATTTTTAAGAATTTTTTGAAAATACCCTTTTTTGTTTTTATATGACCATTGAGACTAAAACTAATATATATTCACAATAATCACAAAAATAAAGTATATAGCATGTTTCCTTCAAATTTTATAAGAGAAATAAAAAAACTGGTATTCTGTGGTACTGTGATATCCTGTGGTACACAGAGATGTGAACACAAAACTGCGGGTGATATATAATTTTTGACATGACGTCATTTTTTGTTGTTGAGAAAATTGGACGCTTTCTCGAAAATTGATTGGTGATTTATAAAAGCCTTGCTAAGCCCCATATTTCTAACTTCCATAGATATTTATATTCTTGTTTATGACAAAACAGATGTATACAAACGTCTTAAGAGTTAAGTCTAGTTGAAGTAGAAGTAGATGTGCGCATGCATACACTCTACCAACCAAAAACAGAACAACGAATCAAGAATCAGAAGACAGAATGCGGGTGAATTGCTATAAAATTTGCTAATGCGGGTGATTTTATGTGCCAATTTTTCCGCGTGTGATGATTCCAAAATGCGGGTGTCACCCACTCAATGCGGGTGAGTTCACATATATGGCCGTACATACACCTGTATAAGAGTTTATATTCACTCAGTGTGTAGATAATTCTAAAGCTTGGTTACCTTTGTTGTATTCTATATTTCTGTGAACTAGAAATATAGAATACAACAAAGGTAACCAAGCATCCTCGGACGAGATGCCCAAACTTTTAAATTACTTTTTTCTGCGAGTGTTCACACTGGTGTTCACTGACAGCTGCACACGACGGTAGTTGCTTTTGCTGACACTGCAAAACTGATATGTAATAATGAGCTTGTGAAGCTTTTCGCTACATTTCAACTTATTGCAGGATTATAGGATATTAACCATATAATTTCAATACTAAATAATTCCATTTTATGTGATTGCTATTAAGTTTTGATCCTATGTAATGTGCTTCTTGGGTTTGCTGTGGTGAGAAAGCACGTGGCAAAATATTTGTAAACAAACAGGGTTGTATATACAGAGTTGTATGAATTATTTTACTCTGAAAACTCTTGGACGACGTTTTGGTAAATTGCAGCTGTCAATTATCATGCCATACTACTACGCCGTCAGAATGGGCCGCCAAACGGGAATTTATACTACTTGGTAAGATATTTTTAGTCAAAAGTATGTGTAAATTTCTGCAATCTGTTTATATACCGTATTCAGAACTGGAAATTTTTCAAATCTCAAGTCACAGACATTTTTCCTGTGTCATAAACTCCACCCCCCCCCCCCAAACATGTCTTCTCAAAAATTGGCCTTGGAGAGAACTGTGTGAAGAGGGCAACAGGGGCCTGCTACTTTCCTCAAGGAGAATGTTTGCAGGCAAGCTCAGTAAGGTTCCACCAGAATGCATTTGAAGGATGTTCACCACTTGTCACTTTGAAAATCATATGCTTAGAAAATCACATCTTTTGTGGGTGGGGGTGCATGCCTAGAAACCAATGGTAAAGGAATGTATCATTACGGGCAAATAAAGTGAAGATGGATTTTTTTCTTGGCTGATACAGGGCGGAATGCAAGAAACAAGTTGATGGAGTTGTAGCAAGATTTAAGAAATTTCCAACTTTGGAAGAAGCTCAAGAATTTATGACAACTAGCGATCCAAGAGATGCGGGGAAAACACGGAAATTTGTATGTTTTATTATCATGGTTGCTGTGATTTTGAGATTGGAATGCCTTGATTTTCCCATTCAGTGGCAGCACTCCCCCTTGACGAGTAAAATCATCTGACGTTAGACAGAGTAAAATAATGTAGGGTGCATCAGGGCACATCGCCACTTAATGGGTTACCAAGATGTATGACAAATATTATCACAAATATGGCGACACCTTTCTAAACAACCTTTCTATCACAGATACCTCCATACAATGTACAGTACACGTTCAAGTTTCAACTGTATTTTATATATTCAGAATGCCACACCAACGGAAAATAATACTGGAAATAAAAGAAAGAATGAAGAAGATCATGAGGATTTGGGAAAACGATCAAAACAAGGTCGGCCATATAACTGCTAGACTGAAGTAAAATGTGCTCTAAACTGACTTTATTTATGTTGCATAGATCTATCAGTTGTAAACTGTTCATCCTAGGACACCAATCACAGAAGTGAAAGATTGCCAAATGCTCATCCCACTTTACTTAAGTTTTTTTTTATCACTTGTGCAACAGATTATGATCCAGACAGAGTTGTGGTCTATACAGATGGCTGTTGTTTTTCAAATGGCAGACGTGGTGCTAAGGGTGGGATTGGTGTGTATTGGAGTGATGGAGATCCCAGGTACATAATTATTATAACTGGAATTTTCAAATTTAATCCATTAAAGCTGCAGAGCTACCCCTTTGACGAGTAAAATCGTCTGGCATTAGACAAGTAAAAAAGTCTGGCGTTAGACAAGTAAAAAAATAAGTAGGGCGCACTGGGTTGCATTACACTCAATGGGTTAACTATAGACATTGTCAGATTTTTTGGTTAATTTAACCCGTTAAGCTGCAGAGCTTCCCCATTTACGAGTAAAATCTTCTGGTGTTAGACAAGTAAAAAAAAATAATTAGGGCACATTGTGGCTCAATATGGACACCTCCCTAATAGACACCTCTAACATATTTTGTAGAAATGTTAGTGAAAGTTTGGAGGGATTACCGACCAACCAAAGAGCAGAATTAAACGTAAGTGCACATTTTTCTGTTGTAACGCTCATTTGTATCATGTAATCACTAAAAACAATGTAACTATCTCAGCAATTAGTTTAATAATAGTGATAATCTTTTCAGGCAGCTATAAGAGCCCTCGAAATAGCCACAAAGAAAAGTTGTATCAACAAGTTGGAAATACGAACTGATAGCATGTACACACTGAATGGTAAGTTTTGAAGATTCTAAATACGATACATCAACAAATTAAACAATGGGGAGATGCTGCCTGTGCACTCTAGTTTCAAGTGAAAACATCTTACTTCTTACAGCTGTGACAAAGTGGATGAATGGGTGGAAAAAGAATGGCTTCAAAACGGCAAAAGGAACCAACGTAAAAAACAGAGACGACATAATGAAACTGTATGGATTGTGTCAAAAAATTGATGTGAAATGGGTAAGAGCTCTATCTGAGGCAAGAACTTCCATCACTTGGCCTATAAGAAAAGTGAAGTCAAGATGCTTGAAATGTTGAAGTTTTACTTGTATTTTTCAATCTCTCGATCTACAGCCAAACCGTTTCAATACCAATTTTCCCCCAGCTAATTCCAGTTTTTTCCATACACTTAAAAACAGTCTCTGTTGAAAAATTGTTTATTAGCCTGAAATGCATAAAATATAAAATAATGCAAAATTGTGGTAGTTTTCAATTGGTAAATATGTTGACATATCTTCTGAAAAATTCTTATATTACGTTTTTAGACGCATGTTCGTGGACATCAAGGACACAAGGGAAATGAAAAAGCCGACGAATTAGCAAAGAAAGGGGCGGAACTGTGAAAAATCGATTGTTAAATTGTGTGGTGTTGTGTAGGAGAATGTTTTGATGAACTACTATTAGCAATCAAAGGAGTAGAATGTTAATACTAAAAGTCTACATTATTTATGCTGTGTGTAAATACTGCAAGTTTGTAACAGCAAAGGATAAATTAGATGCTGTTCTAGATTAATTAATTAAAATGTAAACATTAAGGGACTGAAATAAGAACAAATTACAGTATTATTATTAACCCATTGAGTCGCATTGCACCCTCATGCACCCTACTTTAGTATTTTACTCCGTCTAATGCCAGATGATTTTACTCATCAAGGGGAGAGCGCTGGCACTTAATGGGTTAATGAAAGAAGCATAACTTTGATACTAAAAGCCAGTTTTGCTGTATACAAATGTGGTAACCAAATTTAAGAAACAATTTGAGCATTATATTATAACACTTTTAGTTAATTTATTTATAACAAAAATTATATATGGATAAAGATATGTTAGTTACAGCTTGAAAGCTTTGAAAAACAAATAAAAGATTGTGTATCCTTTATGTAGTTTTACACTGCTCATCTTAGTAGATCTTACATGTTACAATACATAACTCTAACTCCCAAAAGTACCCTTCACTGCAAAACATTTTTGATTCAAAATAATGCAGGCACACTGACTCAAAATAATGAGTAAATTATTAACTAAAACTTATTAGCAGATATACTCATTTTTTTAATAAGTAAATCTTTACTCCAAAAATGAGTAATTTGAAACTATTAAAAAAATTGAGTAAATTTCCTCATAAATTTTAATTTCCAAAATTGTACTCAGGTTTTTCAGTCAAAATACATGGGTTTTTGCAGTATATACTAGCCTAGCAATACAGAAATATATTAAATACAAAACACTAAAATATTGGCTAACATACAAACTATGGACACATAAAACAAACTTATCAGGCACTTATCCTCTTCATCTAAACCTGTGAACAAATTACTAACAATTACATATAGTTTGATTACTCTCAAATGACATTAATAGAAATTACTATATTTACTCAACAATCTAAGAAATTAGCGGCCATAAGCAATTCCAAAGCGATTTCTGGTGCAATCGGGAACTCCGGTATCTCTGTGCTACTGTTGGTGTATCGTACTTTGTAGAGAAAGTACATACACACTTTTGCCAGGATGTGCGATGGAATTTCACGAAAATGAACCTCGTTTGTTTCGTTCTCTGAGAATTGACCTGTTGTGGAAAACAAATGTAATTGTAATTTTGGCATGCAAATAACAAACAAGTAATATGAATTTTTCTGTGTTGGTGTAGTGTACTCAGGTGAATATGATATTTGTGGTGTTACTCTGAGTGTATATCCACACCGGGCGAGCTTGAAAAATATGCCCGGCCACGGTGGGATTCGAAAGGTCGTAGGTTCGAATCCCACCGTGGCCGGGCATATTTTTCAAGCTCGCCCGGTGTGGATATACACTCAGAGTAACACCACAAATAACAAACAAGTAATCATGTGATGCTGCTCATATAGAATGAAATGTTCTGAGTGAATTATTCCATTTCAACCGTGCAAGAAGAAAATTCTGCCAGCCATGACTGGGTTTCAAACCCACGACCTTTGCTGGGTTCAAAACATTTCATCCTATTATATTACCAAGTGAATATATATTTACCTGGTCCACTCAACATGGCTTTTATAGTGCCAGAGGTCAAGGCATAGTGACGTTTAACAACAAATTCATGGCCGTCACTCGAGATTAACTTTACATATTGAGCTTCAGGGCCTTCACAACCTCCGTACACAGGTTCATTTGGATTTGACATTGCTGTTAGTTTGAAGAACCTGAAAATAATTGCACAAGTAGGATCTGATTATCGGCTTCATTACATTACATATTTGTGCCCTAACACACCTTAATTTATTATTTTACTCCGTCCAACACCAGACGATTTTACTAGTCAAGGGGAGAGAGCGTTGGTAGTCTATGGGTAAATTACTAAAACGCCAGTTTGGCATTGCAGCCTACTTTGTTACTTTACTCTGCTAACACCAGACTACCATAATCCTCGAGATTTATGATATTTTACTTGTCAAGGGGAAAGCAATTAACTCCATGTCTTTTATCTGGAACGATAATATGCGGGAGAAACGCGAGCCAATGTCACTTGGTGCACACTGATTTGTGATAGACCACATTATCGTTCCAAGTAAATACATTGAGTTCACTGGGAGAGTGCTGGCACATGTACTCAAGCCAGTGTGGAAAGTTTGATATCGCACGGCGGAGATATCGGCCGTGCAATTTTGATGCTTTCTCTATTTTTACTATTACATTTTCAAAAATCTCCAGAGAGCAATTTCCAAACTTTCCAGTCAGGTACTCGTGCATTATTTATAACGTCACTTCTAGAATAGTCAAAGCAAAACAAAGCCAGCCCAAACACATTTTCGGATATATAATTTCGGATATTACTTTATGTATTTTCCAAATACATAAAGTAACAAACCCCACAGGGAAACAAAACCTATAATAAGATTAACAAGATGATTAATAACTTTCAACAATGTGTTGCTTTTCAGTATGGTCTGGGATGCAAGAAAGTTCAGGAAAACGCATGTATAATATTTTGTGGGACTAATAGCTGTTCAGATCCAGTGTCAAATTAATATCCATGGTGAATATTTGTCTAATAATTACATCATAGATGTATATTTAAGTCCATGATTACAATTTTACATGTGAATGTGATGTTTTGCAAATATTTTGACACGATCTGAAAATTGTCGCTGGCAAAGTGAAGAACATCAAATATAAACACTCAAAACGCAAGCCCAACAAAGCTCATTGCTATACTGCTGCTCACATGACACACTTGACAAAACAAAAATTTCATGCTCTGGAGCCAACCACCGGACGACAAGAGTACACAACACGAAACCCGATTTTGACAAAACCATTCAGAAATATTACCTTTCTGATTCAAATTTCGACACAGTTATGGTTCAAATACATTCCATCTTTTGTTTTGTGGCGTTATTTCTTCAATATTTTCAGCAAAAGGTTCCTTTATCAAACAAAATTCGACAGCCAGACAATATGGCGCATGGACACGCGGCTAATTTATATACGAAGATTGGAAACGAAAGGGGATTTTTGTCCGGGTGTGTCCGGGGTATCTTTCCCCGAAGTACCGGGGAAATGTTATGGAAATATAGTATTGCGTAAATAAAGAAATCCTTCATTTACCTTTTTTATATCATTGGTTTCATTTTATTCTTACTTTCTTTTTCATTTTCTCTGCTATTATTTTTTCTTCTTTTGTGAGTAATAAAAATTTATCCTTACTTTCTTTTTCATCTTCTCTTGCGATTATTTCATTTCCTCCATGCCTCTCGAACAATTTCTTCTTTCGTTATTAATTTTTCTTTGATGCATTTTTCTTCTTTTGTGAGTAATAAAAATTTACTCTTACTTTCTTTTTCATCTTCTCTGCTATTATTTATTTTATCCATGCCTCTCGAACAATTTCTTCTTTCGTTATTAATTTTTCTTTGATGCATTTTTCTTCTTTTGTGAGTAATAAAAATTTACTCTTACTTTCCTTTTTCATC